TCCACTAAATTCATCAATGGCAGGAAAATCACTACAAAAAGGTAGACATCTTTCCAGAGTTGTGAATTATCCATTTTATTTTTAACATATTTTTTACGGTTCTGGTATCATCTGCTCCTAGTTATTTTTAGCTGTACTGAACAGCTCATTATGCTACTTGATACTGCAAACTGGTATTTTTTTATCATATAGTTTATTATTACACTATGTATTGGAATCATTTTTCACCATTTACTGCACTTTGATTTTCTTCTAATTATCTACCTATAGCATCTAATGAATCAGAAGTCTCACACATTCACATGAAATAGCTTACTTACATGTTGCAAAATAAGGTGGGATAGGTTTGAGATATAAAAGCAACGTCAAACCAACTATATAAGCAACGTAGCCTGAAACAACATTTTCCTGTAAGTCATAAATGTGCTATTGTTTCCATAGAATCATCGAGAATGGCCAGGAACGTGTAGAAGTGGAAGAAGATGGACAGTTAAAGTCTATAACCGTAAATGGTAAGGAACAACTGCTGCGATTGGAACACAATTAAGATAATGGAGCCCTTTCAGCACAAACCTGAGCTCAAACAATGTTAGTACTGTCGTTCAGATGTCTGTACATTGTGTTTTTGTTTTGTTTTTTCTTTCCTTTTTTCATTTTTAGACTGTTGTTTCTGAACAATTTTTTGTTTATATATTTATAAATGGGTACTTGTCAGTATTTTGCACAGGATACGTGTAATTTTACTTGTATTTGGGACCATAATGTGAGATTATTTTTTCTTTCCGCGAGCACTTTGTGTTGCAGTGTCCTCATGAATGCACATTGCATTTTGAATACTGCTTTGAGCTGAAAGGAGAAAGAGGATTGTGCATTGTGCATGATTTTACCAACAGTGTGGAGTGTGGAATTGGAGTGCGTAGCTTAATGTTCAAACCTTATGGCAACTTGTCTAATTAATTTGTTAAACATATTTGTAAATGCTGGTAGAGTGCTAGATTCAATGTACTGATATGCAATTTTTATGAATTTTAATTAATGAAAATGTTTTTGTTTTTTTCCCCCTCATTGTTGCATGTAAGACAACAAATGATGTTTCTAGTTGTAATGTTATTACTAAATAACCTGATGAGAATCGGAGTTAATAATATAACTGATTTATGACCATTCACGGAACTTTGTGTACTTTGTAAAATAATTTGAACCTAAATAAATGAGTTTCATCCTTTTTGGGGATGTGGCAGCTCTGCAGTCTATGTAGTTTTGCTTTAACTGAGAGTCATCTTTGATTTTCTTTCAAATCCAATCATTACAGGAGCGTTGTTGCAGCTTGTTTGCTTCAACTAACAATGCTCTACTCTTTTATACCAAAATATGTTTCATTTTTTTCTGCATCTTTTGGAGTTTAGAATGAGTAATATTTTTACCTCAACTCAGTTATGCTGAATTTATATTAATCATTATTAATGTTTGAAGTATATTCAAACTAGAAACCAAATACAGACAGTGAGCAGTTTCTCGCAAAGTGGTAACTTCCTTAATATGCCAGTTCCAAATATTATGTGATACTTTCAGATTAAAATAATATACATTCTGATTTTGAATGTGTGGATAAAATTTCTAACCATTTTAATATAGATTAATAAGCTGTTATATAATAGGGTGACCATACGTGCCATTTTCCCAGGACGCGTC